GAGCGCAAAGAATGTTTCGATTATCTGAATTCAAATGAGTTCTCGGGACAATTCTATCAAGATTGCAGAGAAAAGAAAACGATTTCAAGTAGGTTCATGCCATGAAAGAAGCCAAAGCGGCGACTGTTCAATTGCTCACGCAGTCCGTTTTGATCTAAAAATAAGATTTGGTTCATATGGACCATTTATAGGTAATCTGTCAAAGTATTTTTGATAAATTACCCTGAAAGCTAGCGATAACTTCACGATATCGTTGATATCGATGGCAGAAACCAAACAGTCCAGCAGTACGATCGCATGATATCGTAACGGCTCTCTTCCTGGAGCATTCCTTTGTAACTGCACGGAGCGTATTGATTCTTTTGGAGGGCGACTATTCCACATTTTACGCAGCACCAAACTTTCGGTAAACATTAAAGCCTCCATGCTGTCCTAAATCAACAATATGAATTAGATATCAACAAATCAGCAGTTCAGCAATCAGAAATTTGTTAGGAAAAGCTTGAAATCCACAGAAATTTCATCTCATCTCACCATGTTATCATTCCGCATTTCGTTGATCCAGTTACGAGAGCATTTATTGAAATTCGCATAGAAACGTTTGCCATCATCTCTGATCAACGGTACACAAACCTCAGCCAAACATTCCAGCGATTGTTTGAGACGATTCGGTTCGGTGGTATTTGAAAATGATGGATATACACTGAAAGCTATCAAATAATAACGCGAACAGGTGGATTAGTCTAAGGAATTTTTCATTGAAACCAAACATAAAACGATGAAATGAAATTCGTTAAACGACTCACAAATCAATGACTTGAGGTAGCACAAGGTGTGGTGCCAGAAAGGCGAGAAATCTGAGTATGTTGGATGGCAGTGAGGTTTCAACCGTCGAAAAGGCTGAATAAGTTACCGACGGTAACAGAATTGTTACGAATGACTCGATTTGACTGTCTGTTAATCGCATCCATTTGGGAACCTGCAAAATTAACTTATTTAGTTTTGTTTGCCTGGGATGTATAAAACAAACGAGAACGAGTGACTACCATTTGCACGTTTTGGATGTCGTTTTCAGCAACTGCGAAACAAGACGTCAATTACGAGTAGTTCAGGCGGCAAAACATTCACACTTTCACTTGTCAGCAAGGTGATGCCGGACATTCCTATTTGATGATACTGTTTTATCATTGGAGATATCGTTTCATCGGAATTTTTGAGACCACTGCCTCAAAATTCTGGAGAGTGCATTCGCGTTTTCGATCTGGACACTCTCAATCCAGATCAACTATATTTTAAGGAATAATTAGGTTGCATGAAGTCAAACCTTATGTTTGGTTTTATTTCGAACTCGTTCCATACGAACACGTCTGACCATTTCGTTGACCAATGCCGCAAGAAACAGCTGTAAGGTTAGGGTGTGACCTCCATCATGTAGTGGATGAAGAAACGATTCGATACATCGAATTAGACGGCACAGATGGCGTTCAGCACTGAAACCAAGCAGTATGAAGAAGGAAACATTCAATTGGAAGAAACTCTGATTTACTGGAAATTGATCATACCAAGAAGGATGGTTAGCTAACCTATCGTTTGGCCCACCCAACATCCATACAATCCATTCGGCACCAGACGACTCTGAGCCCATTCCAGACCCGTCGCCCACTGATACCTTACCATCTCGAACGCTCAAGTCCATTGCTCGTAAGAGTTTCGAGAATATGATTGAGTGCTTTGGTATCCAGTCCACATAACCTGGGCAGTATTCTGATATCCTACAATCAAAACCATATCAAATATCGCCATGCTTTCGCAACTCCACATAGCCGAGTCTAAAAGAATTGGTTAAAAGCATGACAACGTCCCTCATATGTGTGGAGAGATGAGGCATCTGCATATCAATAGTAGATGAATGAAAAATTTTTCCATGTTAGGCAATTTTTTGATGCCTCTAAAGCAACAATAATCATATTTGCCTTAGTTCTAAGATAATGAATCGAACTCAAAATTCGGATCACAAACAGACTGTGGAACTGACGCTGAGAAGATGCGTTGTATTCGGCTCTCCCAAGAGCCATTAATTTCGACGAAGTCATAGAAATACCACAGTTCATCAAACCATAAAGCAGCACCGTATTCTTGATGTTCTTCAATTGTCATCTTCAAGGGGATAAACGCTGCAAAGAGACTAACGAATTTTTCCATTGCATAATCATTCCAGAGATCAATGAACGGACGAATCTGAAACTTTTAGTCAGTTAATTGAGTATAAACGGGGCTCTATGATCAACATTCATGAAACTGGATTATAGGTTCATGAAGTTCATTTTAAGTTTATTTTGAGTTTATGGCTTCATGGAACTATGAGTATAACTGCATAAATTCAATTTATCGTGAAATTGGAAATAGATT